TATATGGCATTGGTACATATTAACTCAATATATGGCGTTGGTACACATTAACTCAATATATGGAAATATGTCTTTACAAACTTTTTTATATATATATATTCATCTCCTAACTTCTGGTGCTTTTTGCATCTGTGAGCATTGTCCAAGAGCTCTGAATTTTACTGGAGCAGAGAGATCATGATGCACCAAATGGAAACATCGATTATGATGGGAACATATTTTAAATTTTAAAGTTTTTAATTAAAAATGAGGATGTTTCTGTCCCTCTCAACTAAATTATGGGAACATAGCGTTAAACCTAAAAAAGAAAGAAGAGAAGCTAACCCTAACCCTTACAGAGGACAGACGAGGCAAATTGTACCACCGCGCGGAGACAAAGGCAGAGTCGGGTTTATCACACAACTATCAAGAACTGTCCCTCATCCCCGCCCTGTGCTAGAGTTACTGCCAGTCCTCCTAGGATCCCGCCCACTCCTACTTCGGAATAGTTTGAGGGGCCCCATCAGATTCAGATGGAAACAATCTTTGATACCATCAGGTTCTGGGTTTCAGATTGCGATTGAAACCAGATTTGATACAATCAGGTTTTTGGTTTCCAGAAACAATCAGGTTTTGGGTTTCACATTTCGATTGAAACAATCTTTGACAGAAACAGCTTTTGAGCATCAGATTTCAATTGAAATAATCTTTGATAGAAACAGCCTTTGAGCATCAGATTTCAATTGAAATAATCTTTGATAGAAACGGCTTTTGAGAATGTGACTTCAAGTGATACAATCTGGGAAGAGACCAGTTTTCACTCGAGATTTCTCAATGCTGATATTTGCACCCATCCAGGGAGTTGAATTCCAAGCGTCTGGTCAATGACAGTAAAAGCTCTCTTTTCAGAACTCAGCAAACCTAGCATACGTATCTGGGGTCTCGGTTTTCAGTAGGGCCATGCAAGAATCAAACTCATGCAATGGGGAAGTGCTTACGTACTATGGCACGTACTCCCGACAACTGCCCGACACAGACATCCACGCTGTTGGGCTGGAGGTCACCACTGTAGGTCCTGCGTCTCTTCTTTCCCTCTGTCATTTCTGCCCAATTATCTTGCTTCTCCCTTGCACTATATGAGAGGGTGGTTGGCGGGTGCTCTAGTGTGGTTTGCTCCTTATTTCCTATCAAACATCTACCATCCCTATCTCCTCTCCTTCTTTTTTGTGTTTGTCACTCTCTTGTGACACCTCTAATCTTCGGCACCTATGTGACTTTATTGTGTTGCAAGAGCCGTAAAAAACTAAAACAACACGCAAAAAAGTACTATATGGCCGTTACTGTGTCGACATGCTCGTCTTTACTCACACTCAAAACTCAAACCGAGGCTTCTGCGGTACAGAAAAACAAGACGCTCACCATCTAATAACAAAGCAGGACCTTGTCTCCAACCTTAGCTTCTGACTGAGGTAGTAGATGTTGACCTCACTGTTCCCTGTCTTCAGCGCTGGAAAAATACAGATAACAGAAGAAGTAAATAAATGCACTATACTTGTTCCTGAATTAAAATGTATTTATCTTAGATGCATTTGAAGAACTGATTCCTTTTCTTTTTCTTTTCTTTAATCAAACTCCTCCAACCAACGTATTTAAACGGCAGACAAATTTGGGTCATTTCCAAAGCTCGAGCGTTCTCGAAAACTGAAAATTAAATTTTTTGGGTACCTTCGATCAACATTGTCCAATAAAACTACTCATAAAAAAATGAGCTTTTAAGTGGACAGGGGCGGGAATCAACTCTTCTTGTTGGGGCCAACCCCGGCTGAGAGACATACAACTTCCCAGCTGATAAGACAGAGATAATCAAAATTCTACTCACCCACAGAACTGATCTCTACTTACTGCTGTCTGTGGAGTAATGGTTGGGCTTTTCACCAGTAAGCGATAGAGATGCGAGTTTGGTTCCTGCATGGGAAAGTTTTTATCATTGTTGAGCATCTTTGTCTTTCGGCGGTTTCCAAACGCAGTCTACACCAACCCAGAAAATACCAACGCTGAACGAAAGTGCACTAATTTTAAAAAGAAGGACCTCTTGTAGTTATTAGAACTCTTTTTAAGCCAGATGAAGACAAAAGATAATCTATTAACTAAGAACCACCAGTGGTCGCGACTCTGCAAGTCAGTGAAAATGGCTTCGTCGGGTCCTGGGCAGTTTCCGAGATTTCCAATAGATTTTAGGGGAGAAATGTTGAAATCGTGAATTTTTTCAGCATATATGTTATACCTTTTTCAAAGAGCTTTCCATATATATATATATATATATATATATATGTATATATAGCTCTCTGGTCTTTGTATCTATCATATATGTAGTCATTTCTTACATCTAAAGCTGCACCCTTGTTCCTTAAACTTTCCCCTGACTAGTGCAAGTTTACAGTAATCAGGTTCAACCAACAACATATTAAGTTCATATGCTAAAATTTAGTGACAATGTACTATACCTTTCCCAATTCTATAGAAAATCCTGTAAAGACAATTTACTAATGACTAATGTAGGGTCTTCACATTTCCATTTAGAAAATTTTTCCTTTTGTAAGCTTCAGTTGAAATAAAAGTTTTCCTGAACTAGTAACGCAATTAGATCATATACGTGCTGAAGATTCGTTGGGTAACAAGTAAATGAAGAACAAAAAAAAAGGAGAGACATAATGGAAGATGTTTGATTGGAAAGAAGAAACAAATAACACAACGTAATGGTTCGTTTTTCCCAGAAACCCAGGAAAAATTCCCAACAATTTGGACCGTTCCGTTCAGAGTGTAGGCTGCTTCCACACCGCTAGTCAAGGCCAAGGCATTGTTTATTTTGTAAAGTGTTTTACGACGCTCACAACTGCATAAGGTCATATGAGCGCGCGGGACACACCTAATATTTTCAGTTGGTAGGAAATTTTGAATTTTGCCTGGGTGGCGGCCAAAGCCTACTCTTATCGATTTCAGACCACCAAGGGATCTTTAACGTGCGCAACTTGCACACGGGCCCTCCGAGATTTTTTGCCCTTGTCCGAGAAGGCTAGGTGTAGATCTTTCCTACCAGAAGATCAGGGGTGTGGCAGAAAAACAGCAGTTAGGA